CCATTCTTGGTTAGCCTTGGGCTAGTTCATAAGGGCTTAACATCCCTAATGAACTTTCATGTGGGACTTTAGAATGTTGCTCTTTCTATTTTATCTCAAGATCAGTGTACCTTAAATCATACTATCAAGATTAATTTTTAATTAACAAATGACCATGGTGATAATAATATGGAGGGTAAAATCCTTTCTCAAAATGATGAGTCTCTTACGGTTAATCAAGATGGATTAAATAGTGCTTCTATGTTACCACCTAGTTTAAAAGAGAATGATGTGAATAATCAATATGATTTTTTAAAAGTATCCAAAAATAAAAAGAAGAATAATAAGAATTTGATGGGAAACACCTCCAGGATTACTAGAGCCTCAAATATTTCTATTTCATCCAATAATTAAGGATATCATTTGGAATAATATTGGGGCGGGGGCTACCTTGTCTAAGGATAGGGTTAGAAATTTATGTAGGATCCATAAAATTAATCTGCTTATTTTAATTGAACCTTTTAGTTTCTTCTTCTTGCATAGATTCAGTGTGTTCGAATTTTGGTTTTGATTTGGCTTTTGGTAATTGCAATAAAATTTGATTTTTTTTAAAAGAATTTTATGTGTTTAGACGACATTATTACTGATTACCCTCATACTGTACATAGTAGTGTTACCATTTTCCAGTTTTCTTCCTATACTTCTTTTGTTTATGCTTCATGCTCTAGATTTAAAAGAAAAATTCTCTAGAAATAGTTTTAAGATTTCTCTTCAATTATTTCATCTCCTTGGATGATTGGTTGTGATTTTAATACCATTACTAATGTTGCTGCAAGAATTGGGGGAATGCCTCTTAATTTCTAAGCCATAGAAGCTTTTAATGACATGATTTACAATTGTGATCATCATGATATTGGTTTTACTAGGAATTCTTTTACATGGAACAAGGCTACCATGTGGCAAAGATTAGATCACATTTTATTAAATGATTTTTGGAATTCATCTTTTCCTATTACTCAGATTGATCATTTAACCAAAACTTCATCCGATCATTCCCCTTTGCCTTAAAATATTTCCCATCAATGTAATATCACTCTCGTCCCTTTTGGATTCCAAAATATGTAGATTTTAGATGAATCTGTTACCAGTATTTTAAATAATAATTGGCATGCTCCTTTATTTCCTTATGATGTGTTGGAGGTATGACTAGATTATGGTTTAAGCTCAAAAGGCTTAATAAAAAATTAAACTGGTGGAATAATAATGTTTTTAAGAATATTTCCTCTAACATTTCTCAAATTGAGAATTTGGTTAATAGTGCTGATAACAATTACATGAATGTCTCCTCTCCTGATAATCTTGTTTAACTCAATGAAGCTAAAGCTACCTTATTTAAACTTCAAGAAAAAGAGGAAGCGTTTTGGAGACAAAAGGCTTCCACTAAAGTTTTGGTTGAGGGAGGTAAAAATATCAACTTTTTTCATAATATTATTAATTAAAAATAGTGGCTAGTCATATTTACAAAATAACAACTTCTAATGGTATTTTTATTGATTATACTGTGTTGATTAATGATTATGATATTGAATATTTTAATCAAGTTTTCAACAAAGATTTCTCTCTGAATTTAAATATTGATTTCTCTTTTATCCAAATTCTCATTTCAGAGGACAATATGTTTCTGACTAAGATGCCTACTGATGATGAAATTTTCTTAACTATTAAAAGTATGAATGTTGATTATGTTGCTTGCCTCGATGAGTTTACCACAAAATGTTATTAGAAATGTTGGTCCATTATTAAGGAATATCTTATGAATGTTGTGAGGGATTTTTTCTTAGGCAATCCTTAACACAAGTTTTTACTTATAATTCGATTGGTTTAATTCTTAAAAATGGTGTCATGAATTTCTAGAATTATTATCATCCTATTAGTCTAATCTCTTTCTTCAATAAGCTTACTTCTAAATTACTTATGGGAAGACTAGCTATTTTATTACCTAAAATTATTTTTTTGGAACAAACTGGCTTTGTCAAGAGTAGGTCTATCTTTGATAAAGTTTTAGTGGACCAAGAGTTAGTTCATGATTTGGAAGCAAAAAGTTTTGGGGGGAATATTATTTTTAAGGTTAATATTTCTAAAGCTTATGATAATTTAAATTGGGAGTTTTTCTACATGATGTTAGGTCTTTTGGGTTTAATATGGATTTTATTAATCTTATTAAGAATAACATTGAGAACTATTTCTTTCTATTAAGATCAATGGTAAGTGTCATGGCTTTTTCAAATCATTTCATGGACTTATACAAAAGGACCCCCTATCCCCTGCTCTTTTTATCATTATTATTAAATTGCTCTCTAGAGGTTTTAATAAGTTATTCTCATATAACCCTAATTTTCTATTTAAAACTCTTGGTGGTTTCCCTATTACTTATTTGAGCTTTCTAGATGACTTCATAATTTTCACTAATGGTTTTATCAAAATACTTTATATTTTGTTTAAATTTCTTTATCAATTTCAAAGAGCAAGTTGTCTTACTTTTAACCCTCACAAGAGTTGTTTTATTACTTCCAAGTCTATTTTAATTTAGAGAATGAATGCTATTCATAACAAGTTTGGCTTTTCACATAATAATTTTCCTTTGAAGTATTTAGGAACTCCTCTTTTTACTGGTAATAAAAGATCTCATTTATTTGGAGATATTTTTCACTCGTATTCATAATAAGCTATCTACTTGGGCTTTTAATTTCCTTTCCTTCTGTGATAGGTTGGTTTTAATTAGACATGTTATAATTTGTTATATTCCTATCTATCTCTTTCATACCTTATGCCCACGTTGAATATTTGTAGTAGAATGGAAAGGTTATTTAATAAATTATTCTAGGGAGCTAAGGAAAGCAAATCGGCCGTCATATGGGCTTCTTGGACTATATCCTCTGGGGTTAAAGAGGAAGGGAGTCTTGTTTTTAATACTATGGTTGACTTGGCTATGACCTTTTCCTATAAAGTGTGATTTTCATTAAAATCCAAGAAAAGTTTATGGGTTATATTTATGATTGATAAATAATGTGTTGGTCTTCATGCCGTTATTTATCACTTTAAACAAGGAGACTCTTATAATTGGTGGGGGATTAATTCTATCAAGTTGGAGGATGAACAATTTATCCAAAGGGGCATGGGGATTGGAAACAACTTCTTTTGGCAAGATAAGTGGTTGGTTAAGTTCTCTATTGATAATTTTATTGAATACTCATTCTACCTCTACTTACAAAGTTAATCATTTTATTCATGATGGTGCTTAAAATCTAGATTTACTTAGTGATAATGTTCCTCATTTTATTGTTTATATTATTCACAAAATCCCTCTTTAATTGGATAAAGAGGATTCCATAATGTTTATTAATGCTATTGGTGGTAATTTTTCTTTAAAACTAGTTTGAAATTCTACCAGGCATTCCTACTGTGCTATTCGGGTTATGGCACAATGCTATTCAATCCTATTGTTCTATTTTAGTTTGGACGAACGTGCATAATTATTTTCCTGTGAACTCTATTCTTATGAAAAATGGTTTTCATATTATATCTTAATGCCAGTATTGTTAACAACTAAAAACCTTTATCATTTTTTTGCTAATGGTCCTCTTTCCCTAAAAGTTTGGTTAAATTTTGATAATATATTTAATGCTCAAATTTACAATAATTAAAACTCCATAGTAATATTTTACAATCCTAGCTTACTCCTACTAAAGGTCATATTCATAGCATTTTAGCTGTTATTATTAGTTTCTTTGTTTCTTTCTTTGGAGGAGTAAAAATGAAGCCAAACATGAACATATTTGTATGAATGCAATGAGTATTATTATTAAAATTAAAGACATTTTTGTAGTTATCTTTGGAAAATTTGATTAAGGATAATGCATTCAAATCTTATTACCATAATGTTATTAATTTTTGTGTTTCTCTTCAATTAGTTTCCACTGTTACTACTGATAGAATTCTGAGACGGATTAAACCTAAGGTTGGTTGGTTTAAACATTTTTATGGCTCTCTTAACAATTCTAATGCAAGTTGTGTAGGACTGATTTGGGATTGCAACAGCCATGTTATTGTTGACTTTATAAGTCATAGTTCCTCTACCATTGTGATTGTGGCTAAGATTCAAGCTCTATAATATGGTTTGCAATTATGTATCTCTTTAGGTATCACTCAAATTTGGATTGAATTTGATGCCAAGTTTCTTATTTATTATATTAATGGTTATATGTTTACCAATCCATCTTATTTATATATGATTAGAGACATTAAATAGTGGCTTTCACTCATTTATTTTTATATCACTCATGTTTTATATGAAGGAAGTGATGTTGCTGATTGGCTGGCTAAGATTTTTTGTAATTTAATAGATTGTACTGATTATGTTGTTACTTCTTTACCTGATAAGTTGAAGTATCTATTAAGGTTGGACCTATATGGAATGTCATATATTCGATCCTCCTAACATTTTTTGTTTTATTTCTTATTTTGGTGGTTATGTTCTTCTCTTGCCGACCTTTTGTGCTTGGATCCTCCTTTTTGGGTTTCTTTGTGTTTTTTATGAATAATGTTGTTATTTTGCTTAACTTATCTTAGGTTTGTTGGTTTGGTTTTTTATGGAAGCTGCTGGCCTTTTTATATTTAGTTTGCCTTCAATTTTTGCTTTGTGCTTATCTTGCTTGGGTATTTTTTTGCATTGATTTTACATCCTCTGCAGTATGGTTTTATTCATCTTTTTTTTTTTTTTGAGAGAAATGCAACCAGCATTAGATTAATAAAAAGCACCAAACAAGGCATTAGAAACAATCTAAATGAGAGCTGACTCCAAACAACATTCCTCTTTTACAAGTTTAACAAAGGGGGAAGGAAGAGAGATCTCCCAAAAAAGGTCCCAAATAAAATCATAAGAAAAGGAAAGGTTAGCACAAAAATCAGCTATCCTATTACAATTTCTACCAATGCATTTAAAAATAACATTATTACCATACCTCAAACCAAAGAAGTTTTCATCTCTGATGCATCCAAGTTTCTTCTTCTCTTTGCTGTACAAGTTGAGAAGAAATTGAATGACATTCTTATTGTCCCCTTCTATTTTAACACCTTTGGCATTATCAATAGAATTATGCAATATATCTTTTAAAGAGTTAAAAGAATAAAGTTCCAATTGTGCTATATCCCAATGCATCCCATAGAAACCAAATGCACGAACAAATCTTCCTTTGTGGTCTCTAATAATACCTCCAATGCCCGCTCCATAGTTACTTCTTAATGCAGCATCAATGTTGATCTTGTACCACTCGGGTGGTGGAGGATGCCAGAAATCTATAGACAATCCAGTGGATTGTTTAACATCCCAATTTTTCGAGAGTCCCTTTTGACGTTTATCCAATGCAACAAGGCTAATCACATTAGCAACCATAACAGACACACTGTCTTCCTTCTTAGTATGTTTGGTATTATTTCTATTATTCCAGGAAATCCATAACAAGGTAAAATAGAGCTTTACCATCATCAGATTCTTCTCATAAGAAGCTTGTAGCTCATTTATACAATCCTGAAAAGAGTTAAACAGGGGAATATGAAAACCCCATTCCTGTAGAATGCAAATAACTCTTATCAAATTTGGACATTTAGTAGTTATATGGTCCCGATTCTCCACTTCTCCACAACCTCTTGGACACAAGAAATTATTGGATAATCTCCTTCTTATCAGAAATTCTGCTGTTGGAAGAGCATTTTTGCAAAGTCTCCAAATGAATAATTCCACCTTTGCATATAATTTCAACTTATGAATCCATAAGTAAGGATTATCACCATCCATCTTCACCATATCTTCTTTAATCAATGAAGTAATTATTTTGCCAGAGAACTTATATTTCAAATCCATAAAATCTTCCTCTTCTTCTTGATGTATTTGAATGTTACTTATAACATTTACCAGGTCTTCTCTGAAAAAAAGTAGTAATTTGTCCATGTTCCATCTGCCATCAAGAATAAAATAATCAAGAGTGATATTATCTTCTTCAAAAGAAGCTACAAAGGTTGGCCATTTGAGTAAGCTTTTGTCCAATATCCAAACATCGTTCAAAACATTAATATGAATTCCTTTAACCACATTCCATCTGATAATGTTTTTCATAGCATTCCAGCCACTAGAAATGATCTTCCATGCTGAAGAACCTCTTTTAATAACATCTTTCTTCCACCAATCTTCACCGTATTTTGCGAAGAGATTTCTATTTAAGAAAGAATTTGGATTAGTTACTAGATTCCATGAAAATTTAGCTCTAAATGATTCAACACTTGAAATTGCTGAATGGAGTCCCCAACCGCCAGATGCTCTTGGTTTGCAAAGATCTTCCCAAGACACATAATGTAATCCCTATTTTCCTTCTTGATTATTCCAAACTTAATTCCTATAGTATTTTTCAAATTCCTTCAACACACTTAAAGGAAAAAGGGAATGAGAAATTAAAAACAAAGGTAGATTACAAAAAATTGAATTGTCTAGCACAAGTTTTCCAACTAGAGAAATATATCTATTTCCCCATGAATTTAAAATCTTCAAATATTTGTCCAATAAGAATTGAAAATCTGCCTTTTTCAGTCTTCTTAAAGCCAGTTTAGTTCCCAAATAATCTAATTCTTCCACCACCTTGATCTCTAGAATTTTTTTAATTTTCTTCTTTCTTCTTCTCTCAACAGTTTTGCTAATAATCATGGCAGATTTTTTAAGATTCTGTCTTTGACCAGTCCATCCACAGTAATTATTCAAAATAGCCTTCATCTTCTTGATGCTTTTAATCTTAGCATCAGACAGTAAGAGGACATTATCTGCATAAAGCAAATGAGAGATCTTCTGACATCTAGAAGCAACTTTGATGCCTAAGTCCTTCCCCTCCTGTGATAGGACATTAGATAACAATTGGGAACATATAATAAATAGAAAAGGGGATAATGGACAACCTTCGTGGAATCCACTCCTCCCCACAATCCATTTTGATAAATCACCATTGATGATGATAGAAAATCTAGGCTCCATAATGCATTCCATAATAAGTTTTATGAATTTCACGGGAAACCCCATTCATAAAGAGTATTCCAACACATGCTGTCGTAAGCTTGCACCATATCAAGCTTGGTGGCCGCCAAACCTCCTTTAGATTTAGAAATTCTGATTTTATTGATCAAATCCTGAGCCAACAACAAATGTTCAGAAATACTTCTCCCTTTTAAAAAACCAACCTGCTCTTCTGAAATAACTTTTGGGATTACCATCAAAAGTCTGTTCAACAACACCTAAGCAACAATTTTATAAACGGAGTTACACAAGCTGATAGGACGGAAACCTTTGGGAGATAAAGGATTAGTATTTTTCAGGATCAACACTATAAGTGTTTCCTTCCAATCACTACACTTTTTTCCTGAGCAAAACAACTCTCTAACATCTTTACATACATCAATACCAATAATGTTCCAGTAAATTTTAAGAAAAGAATACGTTATACCATCAGGTCCCGATGCTTTGTTGTTGCCAAGTCGTTTGATAACTTCCAGAATTTCCACATCTGAGATTTGAATCTCCAAGCTTCTTCTATCATTATCATCCAGAATAGATAACGGGTTAGGCCAATTTTCAGTACAGCAACTCCTTTGCTTCCACTTGTTTTGAAAATACTTGAAAAACACCTTATGCAGCTCTTCAGGATCTTCGGTGAGAACCCCATCATCATTTTTAATTTGAGAAATCCTTTTTCCATTTCTTCTAGTATTTACAAAAGAATGAAAAGATTTATAATTAGTGTCTCCTTCTTCTATCCACTTAGCCTTAGCTCTTTGTCTCCACCATGTATTCAACCGTGCAAGAACCGAATTCAGTTCTTTAACTTTTGATCTCAACATCCAAAGATTTTCATCAGTAAGCCATCCCAGCGAAGCCTCTTCTTCTTGAATCTGAGAGATTTCTTCTTTCAGATTCTTCTTTTCCAAAGAAAAGTCTTTAATTCTTGCCTTGCTCCAAAAAAACAATTCCTTCAATTCTTTCTTACACTTCTTGTTGAAAATTTCCATATCACTTCCTTGGAAAACCTTCCTCCATACTTTACCAATAATAAAAGACGAAGCTTTATAAGAAATCCAAACGTCTTCAAATTTAAGCATTCAATTCCTTTTATAAGAATTATCAAAAATCTTCAAGACTATAGGACAATGATCCGATGCTACTCTAGCAAGGTATCTAACCACTGCTACCTGCACACCATTGATGGATATAGAGTTAAGCAAACACCTGTCTAGTCTCTCAAGTATACGATCTCCTCCTAATTTGTTGTTACACCAAGTGAATCTTGGACCCACAAATCCCACATCATGTAAGTCATTAACATTTAAGAAATCAACCATCTCTTTGGAACCTTGAGCAAAAACAAATTTTCTTCCACTCCTCTTATATTCTTGAGACAAGATCCAATTAAAGTCTCGCCCAACAATGAAAGGAACCTTCCTATTGGAAACCTCTTGTAAACTTCCCAATAACTCTCTCCTCTTTACAACTTCCTTATTCCCATAGATAATAGCAATCATCGACACCCCTTTATTGAAGACATTGAGTTCACCTATAATACATTGATCAGTTTCCTTTAAAACTGAGAAAGAAGCTAAGTCTGACCTCCAAAGCACCATAATACCTCCAGATAAGCCATCAGATGGGAAAAGGTAGAAATCCCAATCAGCTCCCATAATCTTATGAAAGGAAACTTTGTCAAAAGCATTGAGCTTAGTTTCCACTAACCCCACAAACAAAATACCATGATCTTTAATCACCTCCTTGAGATATAGAGAGGCTTCGTTTTTGTTGGCCCCTCTACAATTCCAAAAAGCTATTGAATTCATTGATATAGCCTAGGGGATGCCTCCCCTTCCCTCCTTTTGTTACCACCACCATCAAAATTCCTCCCTTTCGGAATGTTTTTAATAGAACCAAGAGATTTCAGCTCTTTAGCTAATTTCACCTTGTTAGCCTCACCATTCAAACTTCTGTCTTTCCCCAAACTACTACCAGAATTATTACTGTCAACATCTTCAACTTTGTTTGACTTCAATATTATACCATCACAGGTATCCTCCTTAGTTTCCAACCATTTATCCCCATTAAATGTTTCTTCATTAATCATATTTTCATTGACAGAATTCAGAATATCAAATTGATTAACAGAATTTGATATAATAGGAATAACATAATCAGAGATCTTACACGAACTAGTATCAGTACATTCCTTGCAGTTAACTGAAGGATCTTCTCTAACCAAAGCATCAGCTCCAATCTCTGTATCATTCTACCGATTAACTTCTAAAGCCAATTCTCCTTTTTCTAGCTGATCTTCATTTCCCATATGAACTCTCTTTGTGTTGGAAGAGTCTTTACTATTTTCAGAAGCAAAAGTATGTTCCTTATGACCTGCATTTAAAATGACATTCTTCTTAACAAAAATAGCTTTGCTGGATTTCACCACATTGCTTCTCTGAATAGGTCTTCTTCCTTTCTTGTTATTGACAAGAATCCAAGGACCATAGGATGGTTCATTAGCTTTATCAAGCAAATTATTTCCTCCAGCAGCTTCATTATTGATATTATCAACAATCAATGCCTCCTTAGGATGTTTACTGATTTTTCCACACTCTTCCTTCAAGTGCCCAATCAAACCACATTCGAAACAAAGGTTGGCCACTTTCTCAAATTCAACTTTTTGAAAGAACCTCCCAGAAATGCTATCCACCCAAACTCCCAATGGAAGAGGTTGATCAAGCTTCACCCGAACACAAACTCTAGCAAATTCTCTCCTTCCCCATTGGAATAAATTACCATCCATCATTAAAGGAGTACTAATTCTAGAAGCAATCCTTGCTATATTATCTTCATCCCAACATTGCAAGGGCAAGTTTGGCATTCTAACCCATATAGGAGAGGTTAGACCCTTTATGGATAAAGCAGAAAAAATTGTAGACCTATTTTCCAACCTAATAATGTGTCCATTAATAAACCACGGACCTCTTAATAGAGCTGCTTTCACCATCTCTTCTGATTTAAAAGAGCATAAGAACCATCCTCTCCCTAAAGCTGTAAAATGAAATTGGCCCAAGTGACTCAATTGCTTTCTAATTTCCCATGCAACCATATGAGAAGCTATCTCTCTGCCAAACACCTTAATAACCACAGAATTCAATAGTTTCTTAGCATTCGTAATCTCCATTTCTTCATTCATCCTTACAGCTTTACCATCATCATATAACAACATTTCATCTTCTTTAAAATTAATTTTGATATATGGCTTACTACTCCAAGGATTACTGTTGCCAATATTATCAGTAGATTTTGGCATTTCAACATCCACCTTATCCACATTCGTTCCATTAATAACATTTGCAAAATAATGAATATTATTGTTACCCAAACTCAATGAATTCGCCTTTATCTCACTATTTCCAGATATTATATTTGAATTCATAAATTTGTTAACAAAAATTTTCATCCCTGAAGAGGATGCATCGGGATCCACCGAGTTAGTTGCAGAAAAAACTTTACCAGTTCCAGGAGTGACATCATTTATAGAATCATCAATTCCTTTCCCTTTACCTTCCACATACTTAATCTTCTTTGGCGCTTCTTCTGAGACATATTTGATCACCAGCGGTCCTTGCGACTTCAACAAATGATCATCCACCAAATGTTTGAACGACGGAACATCGTTAACCTTCAGATTAATCTTCAAATTGCCAATGAATGACGGAGGTCTAGTCACCGGAGACTGAGCTTGCCGGCGACTCTCTGCCGCCATCATCTACAGTTCTTCCTGGGAATCAGAAAAAAAAAACCGGGAACAAAAATTTGAATTTTTCAGGGATTTCTCTCTAACGGAAATTCTAGAGTTTCTCTCTCTAACATCCCAATTTTATTCTTCTATGATGCTCATCTTATACTTCTCCTATCTTGTTTAAGAGTTGGAATGGGGTCTGTGTTGATGGGTTGAGGGCTAGGGGTGTTATAATCAATGTTGGCAGGATGTTTGGTTTTTTGGGGTTAAGGTAGCTTTTCATTTTATCCATTTTACCCATATTTTTTTTATTTTCATCCTTTGGAGTTTGGATTTGTTTTTTTTGGCTAATTGATCAATTGGAAATGTTGTTGATATGTCTTATTGATTGGAACTATATTTGTTTTAATTGTTGGAATCATATAATGGGTGGGTGTTGGATTGTATTCGAGCAGTGGGTGAATAATGACATTCATGACACTTTAGATACTATGCACTTGTGCCAATTTCTTAACTCCAAGTGGACCCTTCATGATTTGAATGCCTCTGTTGGTTTTGATAAGTGGGTCTTTTGGATTGGATGTAGTTTGAGGGGTTTCCTCGAGTATTCTTCGAACTCTCTCATGTTGGCAATAACTACTATTTTTATCATAATTTTGTTTATGTTTTTGGCATATCAATATCCAATCTCTTGTTAGGTTTTTGGGTGGCAAATTTCATGAGCTTTATGAGTTGCTATATTAACTATCTCTTTAATGGCTTTGTTGGTTTGTGGGTTTTTCGTATGGTACATTATTTGTTATTATGTCTCTTAATCCATTTCTAGTTTGGGTTTGTCTTTGGTTCTTATTGTCTCCCATGTTATTTTTGGGTCTTCTCCTATAGCTTTTTTATGATGTTATTCCTTATGTTGTCATACATTTATTATTCTTTTCCTCCATTGTTGTTGATGAAGTTTTTGGTGTTTCCTTCCCATCAAGAGATTCATTGGACTAAAGGGCTTTCTTTATCCTGTAGCAAATCTATTTCTTCCTTAACTATATTAATATCTATAAATTAATCTGAAGTGTTGCCATCCTATTTTATTTATCACCTCTATCTATGCATATCCTTTCTTTTTCTTTGGTAATCTAATAATTGTTATGACATTAATTGTATTTTGGGTTGTTGGTACTATCTTCCACACATGTTGTAAGTTTAATTTGAATTATTTTGAGTTTATCAACTATAATATTATTGATTCTAACCTGTTATATTTTATACAATCATCCTTATTTGTTTCTCAAATAACTTTCCAGTTCTTTCATTATTATTCTATGGTACAGATTTTATATTTTGCATATTATTTTGTTAAGTGGATTGGGTTGCAGGTGTACTATTTTTTTGTAGGAAGATTTTACAGGATGCAGATTATTGAATCTTTCTTTTTTGGGGTGTTGGCTCCTGGCCGCCGTAGAATGTACCTAGGATATTTTGTATGTTTTATGAAAGGGAGCTTTTGGCTTATAGATTTTCTTTTATTTTATTTTTTGTTATCTTCTGAGCATTAGTGAGCTGAAGGCCTCCTTAAGGACCTAGTAATTTTAGTTTCTTTTAACGCCTAGGCCTCTATATAGGTTTCCAAAAAAAACATGTTTATTAAGCATGTCACTATGTTCAATCATATATTTTTGAAGGCATTCCAAGTTCCTTAACCCTTTAAACTAAATGAATATTCCAAATCTATAAAACATTCAAATATTTATAGTCTAAGCCACTAGGCAGAGCATATTGGGGAGAGAAACTATTTGCCAAAACTAATGAGAGAAGGTCTAGGATTTTCTAGTGAGAGAAACTATTTTTTTTTTAAAATCTAATTCACACTTCTGATGGCGACGGAGGGTCTCCAGCCTCCGATGACCATTGGTGATCCTTATAAAGGCAGGCATCCTAATTTGATTCCTCTATTCTCATCATGTTCAAATTTGATTTCATCTCCGCCAGCTTTTGGCGACAATTTTGCATGAAACCCAATAGAAGAAAAGTTTAGATTCATGTCGCGTAAGCCTCTGATTATCAAAATGATTGGAAAAAAAAACTAGCAAGTTATTCCTAAAATGCCTTCTAGCAATGTGTTGCATAAATTTGGATAAAAAAAAAGGTAATATCAATGTTACAAACCTGGGTTTTGGTATGGATTTTGCTGGGGAAGATTCAGTGGTAAAGCTTCACATAATAAATGAATTAAAAATTTTGAACAAGCTTCGGTAGTCTTTGGTGATTAAAGTCTTTGGGGAAAATACTCCATTTAAGGTGATTAGCATGGAGTTAAAGAGACAATGATCTCACATTGGAAAATTTCATCAAATAATGCTTGGTGTGGGTTCGGTTCTTTGTGCATTTGACAAACTAGAAACATTGGAATCAGTCTTCTTCAATGGTCCTTGGTATGCGAATGGAAGTATAATTGGGCTGGACAGATGGTCTCCATCATTTTATCCTTTATCTTTGAAGGGTCTTTCGGCTCCGGTTTGGATTAGAATGCTAAACTTAGCATTACAATGCTGGGATGAAATTAACATTTGTAGGATTGCTTCCATGGTTGGGAAGCTGTATATGATTGATGGAAACATGTTCCAATGGAGTAGAAGGGAATTCGCTAGAATTTACATTTGTATCAACTTGGATAGCAAGCTTTCTTTGGGAGTTTAGGTAGAAGGAAGTTCTCAACATTTTTTCCAAAGAATTGAATATGAGAAGATCCCAAACTTCCATTTCAATTGTGGTAAAATAGGTCATCTGAAAAATCATTGTCCGAAAAGGATGTTGAAGGCTGACCAACCGTCCAAAACAAATGAAGCTTCTATCTCAAATGGTAATCTAACTAAGGTGGTAGTTTTAGCTAAGGTGATCAACTTAAATAGTGTTGAATATGGGCTTTGGATACATGTGAACTTTAGAAGGAAGAAATTAAAAAAGCCAAGGGTCCAAAAATATTATGCAACGTTATTTGATTAATGAAGCTGGAAAAGTTATTGTTTTTTTTTAAGGAATTCCAGAGTTTAATAGATGGTTGAAAAAATTAATAATACTGAAGAACGT